CCACCATGACCATCTGAGAGTAGAGATCATAAGATTGACTACAGTTAATATATGCCCCACTAGAAATGATTGAGAGAGAGAGAGAGACTAAGATGTTCTTTTTATATGATGTTGGTTTATATGATAAATAGTTATTTAACCATCCCCGTGTGAGTAATGGTTGCGCAAGATAAAACTAAAAATACAAAAAACTATATGAATATATTAAATAAGTAAATCATTACTATTATAACAATAATAGTAATATTAAAACCAGCTAACATCTGCAAAATATAAATAACTCTTCTAATCTGGATCTCGGTTCTAGTTTGTTTATGATATTCTTTTCTTCGAGAATTTTATGTTTAAGTAATGATTAGGCATTAATGAAGTTCAGAACTGTCTAAGTGCAATAACAAGCATTATAGAAAGATAAACTTATGTTTATTTCTGAAATTTCAGATGACAGTTTTTAATATATAGAATAATTTATAATATAGATTGACTCAACCAACTAGCACTCATTGTGTATAACCATCCCCAATCCACATTCGAGGAAAAGACTAAAGCTTAAAACATGAGTGTACTTGAGTTCTACAGTCCTTTTTGGTGGTATTCAGTGTCAGGACAACTGAGTTTGGCATGGGATTGGCATTTCCATCTTACATCATATTATTCAAAATCCAGCCAGGACACAGATTTTGACATGGGATTCGCATGCATAAATGAATAACAGATACATGAAAGAATTCTGATAGTCTTCCCCATTATATTTTTCTGACCAACTTGTCTTGATCTCTAACAGATATGTTATTGAGATTCTCAATAACATATAATTAACATGAGAAGAAAAAAAGAAGGAACCACCAAAGATAACCATATCTGAAAATTTTCTTGTCCAGCAATAACTTTTTTCCTATATATCATAAAGAAGTCAAGTAACGAGGATCACATAAGAAATCATATAATTCCTGGTCAAGAATATTTTGGGTATAAAAGGTGCTAAGGATGGAGAAAGTACATTCACACGAACATCATCCCAAGTTGTTGATTTTATTTCTGGTTTCCATTAATAATATGGTAACACTGGCAACTAGTACCATAGGAGTAAACTGGGGGACAGTGGCCACACACCTTCTGCCTGCCCAAAATGTGGTCAATATGCTGACAGACAATGGTTTTGATAAGGTGAAGTTGTTTGATGCGGACAGGAGCATATTAGAAGCGTTGTGTGGGACCAACATTCAAGTCATGGTTGCGGTACCCAATTACATGCTGGAGGAGATTAGCCTCGACCCAGGTGCTGCTACATCATGGGTGGAAGATAACATTACAGCTTATGCTTATCCTGGAGGTGTCAACATCAGGTTCGTTTATTAAAAATGAAAAAAAAAAAGGGTCTTTTGTTTCATTTTTAAACTTGGGGATCTATTCTTCAAGTTTTGAATTTTTCATTGCCTAACATTTACTCCCTCGGTGGATAGTTTACTTTTCCAAAAAATGGAATAAAAAAGCTGCTGTGGGGAAAATACCATTTAGGAATTTTTCCTGATTTATGTTCAAGTTTATAGTTGTCACTATCTAGATTCTATAAGGCACAAAAATCTTTTAAGTATAGGACAGGAGTATCAGTTCAGAGAGTTTCAGAGAAAATCTTTTTCAGGTATGTAGCTGTGGGAAACGAACCCTTTCTCAAAGCCTACAACGGCACCTACTTGAAACAGACGCTGCCAGCACTGAGAAACATTCAGGAAAGCATCAACCGGGCCGGGCTCGGTTCACAAATCAAAGCAACCGTACCCTTCAACGCCGACATCTACAACTCCCCCGACTCTAACCCTGTTCCCTCCGCAGGGGACTTCAGACCCGAAATACGCGATCTCGCGGTCCAAATCATCCAGTATCTCTACTCGAATGGCGCCCCTTTTGTGGTCAACATCTACCCCTTCCTGAGCCTCTACGGGAACGCATACTTCCCTCTAGACTATGCCTTTTTTGATGGAACCAACCGGCCCTTAAGGGATGGCAGTTACGTCTACACAAATGTGTTTGACGCAAATTTCGACACCCTGGTCTGGTCTCTCGCCAAAGCGGGATACCCAGACATGAAGATCATAGTTGGTGAGGTCGGGTGGCCAACGGATGGAAACAAGCATGCGAACATTCAGAACGCAAAGAGATTCAATGAGGGGCTAATCCGGCATGTTCTGAGCGGAAAAGGGACTCCAGCTAGGGAAGGGAAAATAGATGTTTATCTATTTAGCCTAATAGATGAGGATTCAAAAAGCATCGAGCCTGGTAGCTTCGAAAGGCACTGGGGTGTGTTCGAGTTTGACGGAATGCCCAAGTACGAGCTGGATTTGTCGGGCACGAGGAAAAATGAGGGTTTGATAGCCGTGCAGGGTGTGAGGTATATGGCAAGGAGGTGGTGTGTTCTGAACCGTAGAGTGAAGGACACGAATCTGGAGCTCCCGGGGAATGTGGATTACGCATGCAGCTTGTCCGACTGCACGGCTTTGGGGTACGGTTCGTCGTGTAACCACCTGAGTGCGGAGGGGAATGCCTCATATGCTTTCAACATGTACTATCAGCTGAAGGACCAGCACGAGTGGGATTGTAGCTTCTCAGGGTTGTCTACAATCACAGACGAGGACCCTTCGGATGATAGGTGCCGATTCCCAGTGATGATTGCTTGCAGTCATTCTATGTTGATGAAGAAAAAAATGGTGAATATTTTGGTCGTTGTTCTTCAGGGTTGTATGGTGTTCCTGTTTCTTGAGTCTGATGTTTGAGCCCGACCAAGGATTTCATAACCATGTATGCTTAAGGTAATTACATTTATTTTGGTTATGTATTGGGAGAATTAGAAGATGTGATTTTAATTTGTGTCCTTTATGGGAGTTTTACATTTATTTTTATTCTTGTGACGTTGAAATTGTCAGACATACCAAATACAACCACTCAGCATTATGAAAATACTATAAGCCTTCATACTATACACGAAATAGCTACAACGAATTTCTGACCGTGTAGCTTTTAGGCTATATTTAATCCAAGATTAATATAATAGACAAAATGAAAAGTGAAACAGTGATTCTGCCAGACTAGGGAACTATTAGGGAGCAACAAAGAGCTCAATTGTAAGATTTAAACGAGCAAACGATACAAGCAAACATACATTTCTGTATGCAGTAGGGTCCTAAAATGCAACAGCTACGTTGCAGCAATAAATCTGCTTTGCAAGCAAGGAACAGAAGGGACGCATAATTATTTCCCAACAAGCCCGAAACTATCCTCAACATTAGTACTGGAAAGGAACAGAAATGATGAGCTAATCGACTTCATTTTTTGTGACAGGAATTCAGCAAATATTCTCATGCATGCCTGTGGACAAAAATGACGTCTAAACTCTGCCATATGTGCAGGTATATGAGTATAAGGTAGGTATGTGAAAAGATTGTAGGTAGATATAAGACTGTGTTCGATACATATGCTAAATGCTGATAATTAAATACAATAATAACAATTTGGTCAGCCAATAAACTGTACTTAGAAGTTGAGACAATTTCTTATAGTTTACTAAATTACCAAACACCTTGATATATCGGGTGCTCCATAAACAAACCATATCTACTACAGTTGACATATATAACTAAATACCTTGAAACATTATGTTCGACTGAAACAAACAATATATGAAGTTAACATATGTCAAAATCTTGTACTACATCCACTAAACGGGTCCGTTCAAGTACTGGTGGCCACATGTCATCAATACTAGATTCACATAAAGTATTAAAACCTCATGAGAAGTCGAAAACTAACTACGACCCCCATTTCATCATTTAATCATGTGCTCGATCATTTAATAACTCCATAAAATTCTTTATTGTTGTTACAGCTATTATGTCAGATACTAATCTACCTAAGAGAAAATAAATAGGACAAATTATCATTTATTTCAACTTGAAATTTTAAGCAATGTTTGTGGCTTTCAGTCAAAAAACTTGATTTCTCAGAAACCACAAACAGTCACACAATACTATGAGTAACTGAAATCCTTTCTAAGGGTCCAATGAAACCAAACCTAAGGTATTATAGCAAAAAATATCAATGTAGCACTGAGAAAAATAGGTTACAATAAAGATAAACTATTGAAGTAACTCACTCAATTGGTTCAAGATCATCATCCTGTGGTTCTCTTTTCACCTCCATACAGCCCTCCAATGGCTCTGCCTCCGTGGAGTCTAATGTTGTCTCTGTTTTTACCTCCTTAAGCCCGGTAATCTCGCTGCAAGCATCCTTAAAGAGTATAAATTCATGAAACAAGGTCAGACATTTTGAATACAATTTTCAGTGATAGCATTCACCACATGTAGTTCAAACACAAAACAAGTGCGTGTGCGTGTTATGTCTTACTTTTTGTTTTTAGAAGGTAAAGCGTGTACCATACCTACCTGTGGTTGTTCTTGTTTGACCACCGGAGGTTGATCGGCGGACGGAGAATTCGACGGTGAAGCCACCGCGGCCATTGGACTGCTTGAATAATGTTTTGGGTGGTGCACAGTACAGTACAGTACGGCCTTGTTATAACTTCATCATCTCAAACCCTAAATTCAGATGAATCTCCTCTGTTCTGATATGTTTCTTCTGCTGTGATAAATATGAAATTATGTCGAGGCCTCTCGTATGTTGGTTGAGTTGCTGATTGTCTTGTTACTTTGCATTGCACTCTTAAAAAAAAAGGACAAATGCGTACCATCCCGTCGGGTGTTTTAATCGTTAGATCAATCGTATATTTAATTTAACTACACGCAAATCTAACTGTTAAAGCATCCGACGAAATTGTCGTAACAGAACCGTAGCATTTCTCTAAAAAAGAATGTGGTGGTGCTAGTAAGGAAAATTTGAGTGTCTATATTTATTTATTCTTTTATTTATTATAGGTTCAAATTATGATTTTGCAAGGTCTTATTGGTATTTTTTAAAACAGTTTACAATTATAAAATCATTTTCCTCATCAGTTCATAGATTTTTTTTTTAAAAAAAAAAAAA